GTGTTCATCCAGCTCTACACCTTGTTATCTCACCATTCAAGCCCATCTCATCAGGCCTCAGTTGACCTCATCTCAGCTTCAGTTCTACTTTCCTGCCCACTCTCCGTAACACTTCAACTTGTTAAAAAAAAAGAAGTATCTTCTTAAACTTATTCTGGAATTTCAGATATACTGCAACTACAGGATCCCCGTTATTGCTTTGCTTGTTACATCTTCAAAGAGCTCTAGCAAATGAGTCAAACACAATTTACCCTTCATAAAATCATGCTGATGCTGATGGATTGTGAATTTACTTGCCAACTGTCCTACTATTACTTTCTTAATATTGAATTTTAACAATTTCCCAATGACAGATGGTCTATTGTGTTCTATTTTCTGCCTCCCTCCATTTTTGAATAAGGGCAATACATTTATCAATTTTTCCAATTCAAGAAGCTTTCCTGCAATCAGGGAATTTTGGAATCCTGCTACCTCCTTTAAGACCCCAGGATGTAGATTATCAGGCCCTGGGGACCTGTTTGCCTTTAATCCCAATGGTTTGCTCAGTACTTTTTCCCCTAGTTATGACAGAAGCATCAAATGCAAAAGGAAGGAAGTTACATTAAGACTGTACAAAATGCTGGCATGGTCTCAACTGGAACACTGCATTCAGTTCTGGGAACCACTTTTAGGATTTAAAAGGGGAGCAGAAAAGATTATAGAATGGTTCCAGGGATGAGGAACTTCAGTTACATAGCTAGGTTGGACAAGTTATGACTGTTACCTCTGAAGAGAAGATGAAAATCAGATTTCATAGAGATATCATAATTGCGAGCAGGTGGGACAGAATAAATAGAAACCATTCCTATTGGGGGGTTGATCTAAAACCAAAGGGTACAGAATTAAGGTAATTGGCTAAAGAAGGAATGGCAACATGAGGAAAACATTTTCACACAGTGGTTAGGAGCTGGAATACACAGCCTGAGAATATGGAGGCAGTAAATTTAAGAGAATTGAATTATCTGTAAAGGAAGAAAGTTCAACATTACAAGACGACAGTGAGTGGCTTTAAGTGAATTTTTCCTTCAAAAGAAACAGCACAGAAACAATGGATGAACTGGTCTTGTGTGCTGTAATCAATCTTTGAATCTAACCACTCAACACAAGATACAATTTCAACAACACAAGATTTAATTTAAACATAATTTAGTGAGATGTGTACAGAGGTATACACATCATATGTAAAGTGTTCGCCATACACTGAGATCCAGTTTGATCTCCAAACAACACCTGTCATTTTTGTACTGCATGTCAGTGCTCATTACCTGGGCAGTTCCATTGGTACTAAGCTGGTAAACGCTTAGGAGCGGCAGACAAATGCTTGGTAGGACACCAGCTCCTGCCACTATGGCTGCTCCCTGAAAACACAAAAACTTGAAGTTAAAGAACAAATTCTTCACATGAACTAATTTATAGTTAAATGTACAACACTTAAGTAATTGCTCTTATTATACCACAGTCAAGAGCCAAATAACAAAATGAAGTGATCCAAGATGCTACCATCCGTGTTTTAACCCACACCAAGTCCTATTTTCCTAAGCTCACTGACCTATACCGGCTCCCAGTCAAGCAAATAGATTGATTTTAAAATTCACAACCTTGTTCTCAAATCTTTCCATGTAATCACCTCCAGATCCACAATCTTAAGATGTCGCTCTTCTAATTCCAGCCTCTTGAGCATCTCCAATTTTAATTGATCCAACCATGGTAGCCATATTTTCATTGCCAAAGCACCAAGCGGTGAAATACCCTCACATAAACCCTTTTGCTTCATTTCCTTCTTTTAGACACTCCTTCAAGCCTACATCAGTGACTAAGCTTGCAGTCATCTGGCCTAATATCTACCTTATGTGGCAGAGTGTTATTTTGCTTTAAATTGCATCTGTGCAATATCCTGGGGAAATTTATAACAATGTGCTATGTGTGACCTTGTTTTTGTGAGGTGACGATTATATTTTATATTTTACTTGAAAATACTTAGAAATAACAAATTCAGTGTTCAACCGTACAAATTCGTAAGGATTCCTTATAATTGACATATTTACAAAATGTACATACATCTCATTTAAAGCATTCTTAACAGCACCACCTTCAGTGTCGCAGATTTCCTATACACCATTTGATCTTCTGATCTTAAATATCACCAAAAATACCAGGAAAAGGCAAACTTATTGAAACCATAAGCAATACCATGACTAGTGAGGGGCCAGCACACACTGATATTCTGAATAACCATCAGCATTTTTGGATTCGAATGAGAACTCAACTTGATTACAGTTGTTCAAAAGTTCAAAGAAATGTAAATTATACATCACAGTATAATATAGAGAGACCACAAATTTAGATACTAACCAGTTGCTTGGAATGACAACTTTTATTTAACTTTGAAAGATCATCAATACACACTCAAACCGAGGCATTGCATTTCACTTTACTTTCACATACTAAGATTCATAGAATTACACTTGTATGATACTCAGTTCTGTCGCTGCACCTTCTTGTCATTTGGGTGAAAATGGAAAAAAGATCAATAGGATGAGAGAGTGGTCCATGCTTATGGACAAATCTAGATTGAACACCTACCATATCAGGTTTTGAGTGTCCTGTTTTTCTCAAGTTATCTGATGTTTTAGGTAATTACCCTTCTTATTCCCCATTTTCTTCCATCCATTTCTGTTGGGCCACACAATAATAAAAGCTAAACTAGTCCTAAGCGAACAGAATAGAGGAACCTAGGGAAAATTGGTCATCCCTATTTAGTTCTCTACAATGGTGATTATAACTTTCAGAAGTATTTTCTTTGGTGTGGTGCACTTTGGGGCATCTGGAAAAGAACTGTATAAATGTAGATAATGTTGTTTTTCTAATTTCCACTATATTTCTGAAATATTAAATCAATTCTAACAGATACAAAAGCAAAATCCTGTAAATCTGAAATAAAGACAAATTCTCAGAACAATTTAGGTCCAACAGCAAAACAGAATTAACATTTCAGGTTGATGACCTTGGAAACCTTGTCCAATAGAAGGTCACCAACCTGAAAATGTCAACTGCCTCTCTCCAGCTGATGCATGATCTGTTAACAACTTCTAGCATTTTCTATTTTTATGAACACTAACAGACAGCTGGATATCATTAAAACTATTAGGATTAAAACACTACATACCTGCTGAGTTCTGGATAATACTAAAAGCAAGTGCAGAGATGCCTCTGCAAAATGTAGGTTTTGTTTGACTCGAAGGCTCAGTTCCAGGGTACTAAGCATGGCAGGAAGGAATGGAACCTTCCGGGTAATCAAAAATAAGTGGTTGCCATTTTCATCCATTTCATAAAGTTCTTTGGACAAATGCAGAGCCAGCACACATACCTAGAGACAAGATAATTAATTTTACCACAGCCCTAAATGTCAAGGTATTATACTTGGATCAGTCCTCTCCTTGGTATTTAAACACAGAATTGCTTTCTCTCTTACCCCATCTTTCTGGTCCTTGTGCTGTAACCGTGGTGCACAATCTGTCTCCATACAATCCTTGTCATCAGACAGACCAGCGTCTCCTGTTGTCAGTGCATGATGTGTTTGGTCAAACAGAACAATCGCCTCGTTATGTATGGTCTCACACACAGTCAGGAGCATTTGGGAATACTGGGAGATGTCAGAAACTAAAAAAGATTAAAAGTTATGAACTGTACACTAGT